GCCATGCCATGCCTAGGATGAGGTCATACCTCGCAAAGTTCAAGAACTTTACATTTAAGTCCATTGGGACTTTGGGTACCGTAACACGCGTACCCGTCACTAAGCGAACTGTGACTGTGTCACTTTCACGCGCTACAAGCGCTTCAGCATACTGCTGACTACCTTCACGGTGGCACGACCCACATAATTGCCCGATGCCCCCGAATCGATCAAAATGTTCCATGGCTTATCAAAGCCTTTAACCGTCCCTTCGACAACTAGCACCCCTGGCTTGCAATCTCGTTCCGTTTTTGAGAGTTCGGATCTCTTTGGGGCTCCACCCTGTTTACTTCTACCTCCTAGAGGTCCAACAGAACTCAGTTCTTTCCCAGTAGGGCGCCCGCGCCTATTGGGTTCCGCCTTTTCCCCGCGGCAAACTAGAGAGTTTACCCATGGGACGTCGGCTCTTCGAGGCCAAATTTGCCTTTCTTGCAGGGCATTTTGCCATCAAATGGCCTGTGCTCTTGCAGATATAACATCTGCGCACAATTTGCTGCTCATCTTCTTCATCCTCCACTTGACTGCAGTCCATGGGAACAGACCCATCAGACGAGTAGTTATAAGTGGAAGGCCTAGCGGCCTTAAAATTTGATCTCGGCATTCCATGCCGTTCCAACAGATTCCTCGAATGAGGACGGGTTTATCCGGATGACTTCCGTTCTGGTAACGCCAACTCGGAGGCCCTCCATGAAGACCTTGACGGTCACTGCCTCAGGCTTAGGGTCTATGATCATGGCAGCAATGAGAGCTCTCAATTTTTGTACATATGCCGCAAGCTCACGCTTGCCTTGGCGACACGCCAAAAACCGCGCCCGGGGACGGTGTGCGTGGTTTGGCGATGCATTGCCGGGTCATCTGAACTTTCAGATCGGCCCATGTGGGAAAAGATCTTGCAGTGATGCATCACATGTGAATGCCCACTGTTTGGCTGAACCAAAACTTGCCCGTGGCAAAGCCCACACGGTACGGTTTATAGGTGATGTCGGCTATTAACATAGCCGACTCAACCTGTCGGAACCAAAGCATAAGGTTGTCACCTTCTTTGCCGTCGACCTTATCGACTTCCATTTGTATGGGTTTTGGTCTGCGGACCACTTCTTGCGCCATAGTCACCATGGGCGAAGGCGCAGAAGACGACATCTGTGCCTTTACGTGCTCTACTAGAGCTTTGTTATATTCATCAAGCATGTGAATACGCTTGTTAACCTCTTCTTCGCCCTGGGCAATGAGGTATTCCACGTTAGGGCCAAGAATAGAGAGCAGCTTCTGCAACTCTTCCTGTTGTGCTTGTGACAGGCCAACCGCTAACATCTCATCGATGCCCATTCTCACACAGCGAAGTAGTCGCAAACCCAGGTGCGGGACTGACTACACGTGCTACCAGGTGTAGCCGAGCTACTGTAGCTACGCTACTTATGCACTATGTGCAGAAGAAGTAGTCAGACCGCTGTAGCAAAGCTACTTATGCACTATGTGCAGAGGAAGACAAGCTCAGAGAGCTTCTACGTCGTAGGGTGTTTAACCCTCCTAGGCTAGCTCGTAAGCTTGTGCCTATCGGTATTGATGACCGAGTCTCAGAGATACTAGTATCAAAGATACAATCTCTATACGCTCAAGCTGTAAGGCTTACAGAGCAGGTTTGAAACTGATTTATGTTTATGTTTATCTTCTAACACTAAATATAGAAGCACCTACTCTATACTTAGTGCTAGTCACTATTTACTGGCTCTATGCAATCATGTATTATTTAAGTATAGTGACCACGTGCCACAATGCAACCCTTCGTACTTTAGGTACGGTCACATCAAGCCTACTCTTGTACCCAAGGCACAGCCACACCACATTGGTGTGGCAGGTGTGTATGTACAATACACACCTTCGTGTAACCCCGTTACATTATCTCTTTTGTTGTCATGATACAAACAAGATTGCTACTTATCTAGCAGTTGATGATGATGAGTGTATGAAGGAAAGAAGAGGAATGGAAGGATGGATAGACGATGGATGGAAACAGAGCTCTATTGTCTTCATTTGGTTTAAACGCATACAAAGAATGAAGTTTAATAATAGAGGACGCGAATGTTTTGATCATTATAGATGTTACTTCAATGTATGCTGGAGAGTATTAGATTTCACAAGGTTCACATGAAGTAGTAAGAGCACAAACACGCAGTTTTATCTTCTTACTACTTTTTTTCTCTAAAAAGTAACACACCACAGCCAATCAACAAAAGTATCCATCACTTTGACCAGTCATTCATTATTCTATTCCCTACGACGACACTATGGAGCACGTTGATCAGGTATATTGAAACTCCTATATAAATTGCAATACAATGCTCAGAATGGAGAAGGACAGAAGAATGTGATAGTTTTTCGCTAGGAGAAGACTGATGAGTGGGCGGTAAGGCACGACAAAGTGACTGGAGAAGAGGAAAGGAGAACGTTTGATTTCGACCAAAGGTCTACTCGCTGTGGCGTTGTTGGAGTTTGTGGTTTGGCTGCTGTCTATTCGTGATTATTTAGTAAAGATCATAGATAGAAAGGAAGAACTGAAGGAACTGGCTAGCTAGTTGGTTGGGGTGATGGCCCACCAAGGCTGTAATCCACACGCAATCACTCAATTGATCTCTCTTTCTCCCTTTTGAGTGATTGTGGAGTCAAAAAGCAGGAAGAAGGATAAGGATTGGAGAGAGTATATCATTAGTCTGTCACAGACAGATATTCGAGCGTGATATCTGTCTCTTGTTGCAATTACTGGGTATGACCTCTTCTCTCTCAATTCTTTTTCTTTCTATTCTGCTGAGACTGCGAGACTCCGAACGACTGAAAACGTTTTTCAACCGACTCATCATCGGCAGAACCCTTTGGATTCTCTCTTGGTCCACACAGAAGCTGTCTGCTTACTGAACCTGCACCAGTAGAAACGAGAAAAAGTGGGATCTAGATCTCTCGTTCTTCATCTTCATAATCTTCTTCTCTATGTCTCTCTCTTTTTTTTCTTGATTGTAAAACAGTAAGAAGACTCACTACTTGTTGTTATTCTTGATGTGACAATACAGACTGAGAAAGCTTACCAGAAACAGCAGGGCGTGTTTCTTGCCAGCAAGAAGTTTGCAGGCAAGAAGAAGGGACCCCGCTTCTACAAAGAGGTGGGTCTGGGTTTCAAGACCCCCAAGAGTGCTATCCAGGGCCAGTATGTCGACAAGAAGTGCCCGTTTACCGGCAACATTTCGATCCGTGGTCGTATTCTCAAGGGCGTCGTGCTTTCGACGAAGATGAAGCGCACGATCATTGTGCGTCGTGACTATCTGCACTTTGTAAAGAAGTACAAGCGTTTTGAGAAGCGTCACAAGAACGTGGCTGCCCACCTGTCGCCTGCGTTCCGTGTGAAGGAAGGTGATATCGTCACCATTGGTCAGTGCCGTCCGCTTGCGAAGACGGTACGCTTCAATGTGCTGGAGGTGGAGCCCGCTTCGGAAACCAAGCCCATTAACGTCCGCAAGCAGTTTCGCCAGTTTTAAGTTGTCGGTCTGAATCTGCTGAGATCAAGCTCGTTGTAGCTGGGCTCAAATCTAATACATCATCCGCTCCTGGTCTGAACGGGGATTCATTTAACGTATCGTTTATCTCGTATCGTGTTGTTTTATTTCTTCCGGGTAATGAGTACGAGATTCGATTACGTAGTGCTATGGTCAACCACGAGCGCAAGATACGTGCTGGTGCTAGCTAACTCTGTCACTTAGATCAAACATGTTCTTTTTGTGCGGTTGGTATCGTTGTCACTGGACGCATGGAAATTCGTGTGAGCGCCACCGATCTGATGGCTCTGGTTATTATGGAAAGCGTACTTGCGAGACGATTGACACTTCATCTGGCTGTACCTTTGCAATGCCAGTCGAGAATATGTTGTACAATAGTGTTTTATGATTCTACGTTGGAGACTATGGCAACTGTGGCAATCAATGGTCGTGTGACGAAGATTACTTTTGCATTGGATGTTGGCTAGGGAGGTTTAGACAGTATGAGCCAGGCAAGTGATGTATAGCGAGTACTCTTGTCTGCAAATCGCTTGATGCTAACATTGCCAAGGAGAGTCTTACCGTACGGTCACGAATGGTGTCATGGCCTCATAATCAATCACTATCAGGAGTAACGTTGAATACCCATAAGCATTTCTCACTGAAGTAATCAGTCATCAGAGTCGGGGTCATCTTACTAACGTTTCTCCACGCCTGTAATAACAAATCAAGACTTTCATTGCTACACTTTATCTCAGGTACCTTTGACTCCTTCCTGGTCAATCATCAACGTCACTATGTAGCTCATCATTTGCCATCACTTGTCATCACCACCGTCATTGTCCTCGCAAGAATACGGCAATAATATCCAACGGCAAAGCTTTCAAATCCATGATTCCCTCCAATACTTGTGCATGTAAGTCAGTTCCACCCTTCAACGCCATACGTCTCATGAATACCATAGCGTCCAATGCAGTATAAAGCTTTACTGCTGCACCCAGACTGACAAATAAATACCGAGCTGTGTTACCACTACCAATTTCCACTCCTGACTACCTACTAACTACATCGTCTGTCGACCTCCAGTGCCCTCGATGCCAATTCTGCTCGGTTCTTAATTTCATATCGAACTTACTATTGACAGTTCATTCTGACTTTAGTCCTTGGACGTTCGTAATTAGCTGCTCAGTTTTGCAACAGTTCCTCCTGTAATTCTTTTGTACTACTTTTAGAGTACTACCAAATCAGACAATTGCCCATGTTTACGGTGCAATCTTATCGATACGGACAGAAACTTGAGTTGATCAAAATTATAAAACAGTGCTTACTGTTTTATAATTGCAAATAGTACTACATACCGGTATCATTCTAAATAGTAAGCTAAATCATAAATTTGTAGTGGTCAAAATATTTCAAATCTAAAAATCTCGACTTCTTACCATGTCGAATATCTATATCACTGAGCCAAATACAGAAGGCAAAGTGCTACTGCATACAAGCTTTGGAGATTTGGACGTGGAATTATGGCCACGACAAGCGCCCAAAGCGTGTCGTAACTTTGTGCAGCTTTGCTTGGAAGGGGTATTATATTACATTTACGCTTCTTGTTTCTATTTTACCTAAACTTAGACTACGTTCAAATAATAGTAACATTCTACAATGTATGTGGTACACATAATAGTATTATGATCATACTATTTTTCATCGTATTGTTACAAACTTTATGATACAAGGAGGAGATCCAACGGGTACTGGCAATGGAGGCGAGAGTATTTATGGAAATGCATTTATTGACGAGTTTCACTCAAGATTACGATTCAATCACCGTGGACTTTTAGCTATGGCTAATGAGAACAAACCCAATACAAATCACTCGCAGTTTTTCTTTACACTGGATGCCTGTGAGTTTTTAGATAAAAAACATACTATTTTTGGCAAGGTACGTTTTGTATTTGGAATAAAGGAGCAAAGAGTACTATATTTTATCGCGACTAATTTCAAAATTAATTATTTTTTTATACTTTCATTTTTTAGGTGACGGGTAATACTATTTTTAATTTATTGAGTGTTGGAGACCTCGAGACTAATGCACAAGACCGACCGCTTAATCCACCAAAATTATCAAGTATTGAAGTGCTCTGGAACCCATTTGAGGACATTATTCCACGGTAACTGCTTTGGTTTCATTCTGCTACTATCATTCTTGTGCAATTTTGGTTTTTCTTTTTGATCATGTGTCTTAATGTTTGTGGTTTATTTGATGAGCAGAGCTATCAAACGCAAGGAAAGAACGGGTGAAGATAGTGTCGAGAAGAAGAAGAGAAACGAAAGCGAAAGGCTACAAAAGACTTGAAATTACTTTCGTTTGGTAACGAAGAGGAGGTCATTCAGGAAGAAATGGATGACGAGGCCAAGAAATGCACAAACAAGAAAGTCAAGACGATGATGAGTAGTCACGACCTGCTGGATGATCGTAAGCTAAAGCCAGACGTGGATGCTGAGGTGCTGAAAAGGTTCTCAGCTACAAGTGGCGAAGTGATCAGTAAGGAACAGGAAGAGCAAGCGCGAGCAAACCTAAAAGCAGCAGTTGCGGCGGCTTCCAGCAAGGATGCTTCATGCGAAAAGAGAGAAGATGCTGGTAAGAGCAGTAACTTGAAGAAGGGCGAAGAATTTGCTGCAGGCTCAAACAGCCAGGTAAGGGATCAAGAGGAGTATGCTAAACTACGAGAGGAGCTGCGGAAGTCGAGGAAGGCTGTTCCGCTCCTGATGGGCGAAGAAGCAAAGAAGCTAGAAGTCGACCGAGCTTTTCAGGATATGCTCACTCCGCTGCAACAGCAGCGGCAAAAATATCTACAACGAAAGAAATCCAGCAATCGCAGTAAACGAGAGCAAGACACACTTTTGAAACTGAAGAAATTTCAGGCAACGCTGGTTGATGTGAACGCTAAAACGACTAGTTCTAAAGAAGATGGGAAATTTGAAGACGATGAAACCATGAAAGACCGTGTTGAGAGCTATCATGGTCAAATTCTGGAAAATGACGACGGCCTTGATGATCCAATTGACGACAAGTCGTGGATGACCGCCAAGCTCAAATTTAAGAAGCATATTGATGTAAGAATTTGTAACTTTATGCTGTAGTTATGTGTACTGAACTTACAATTCTATGGTTATTTGTCTATTTACCAATTCCACAGGACCTATTTCGTTCTACTGACGTAAGACTGCATTTATATGCTCGTGATGCCAATAATCGACTGAACTTTTATCATGCTTCCGTATGCAGGACTATATGACAATCGACTCGCGCAATGAACCTGGCCGTGGTTCTCGTGGTGATTCAAGGAGAGACCAGTCTCGAGATCGATCGCGAGACAGCAGTCGACATGGTCGCTACGACCACCGTCGCCGCCAGCGGTAGTTTATTAAGATTAGCCGTGGTGGTCTACAAATGATACAATGGCAACTAGATTACTAAGACGCCTACGGTGTGCCAAATAAACACACTTATGGCAATAGCACAAACGTTAGTATCCTTTAAGCCTTATTCTGGTTCAATAATTGCATGGCTGAGACTGGCATCTATCTACACGAAGTCGTTGTGTGGATTTCACGAAGCGACGTGTATGAAGTCCTCTTTTACGTTCTTGAATGCTTCAATGCAAGTCACACTGCATTGATGAGTTGAATGTGCTGACACAACATAATCTCTACTTCAAAGCACAAGTTTTAGACGAGCTACAGCTGATCCGATGCATAACAGTCTCTTTCGTTTTCGTGGCAATACATGCAATATCACCACTCACTCAAGTTCAAACCAGTGCCATTTACAGAAACAAGGTGTACGCACAAAACTTCTCTCTCATCCTGTCACGCATAATCTTAGGAAAAGTTAACGTCCCGTAAAGTACACACCACGACATTTTCTACTGGCATCATATAAAAAACGCTCAAACTGCAGCAAAGACTCATTATCAATCGCACTTCGTCGACTTGGTGTCGTCGCTCTCGTAGTAAAAAGCTTTTGTACTGAACGTGCTTGATCTTCCGAACCGACTTCCATCAAAAGGCATTTCTTGATCGTATAGTCCTTCCCGACACGTTCTTTCGTCGTTAAAGGCAAACACTCGGATCCTGCTGCATGCTCTGCGTGGTTTCGAAAAAGACTATCAACACATCTATGCAGCAATTGATACATTCGTAGCCCATCGGGATCGGCTCCAGTATCTTCACATGTGGGTCCACCATCTGGAAATAATGCAACATGAGGTTCATACTCAAGTACATCAGCTCCAACAAGATACAACTCTCGACGTGGTATGTACGGAGGATTGAATAAAACCACATCAAAACGTTGATACATTGCTTCATCATCATCCTCGTCCTTTTTTTCAAGTCCTGAGAGCGTCTTTAAATCCCGATGTAAAAACTTGGTACGATCGTTCAATTTGTGAATCCAAGCGTTTTTTCTTGCAATATCAAGAGCATTTTGAGAGATATCAATACCAGTTCCAATAGCATGTGGAAACTCGGACAAAGCTGAGAGTAATAAACAGCCTGTGCCTGTTCCAATATCAAGAATCTCTAGTGGTGTCTCTGGATGAAATTGTTCCTATAATATGTACATATATATATATCAATAAGTATATCAATCATATCATCAGAACCACGAAAATTTGTCACTTATTTTTTCTTACCTCCTTGAAATATATTTTATAAGAGAAATATAAATATCTTACCATTAATGTCTCAAGAAGAACTTCACTATCACTGCGTGGAATAAGTGTTTCTTTCGTCACTAGAAATTCCATGGACCAAAACTCTTTTCTGCCAATAATATAAGCTAAAGGTTTACCCTTTAGACGTTCATTTACAAAGACCCTTAATTGTGCAGCTTCTTCCTCGGTTAACTATCAATACATACATATATTACACGATAAATGACAGGAATATTTTACGTTCATTTGAAGTCTACTTTTGTAAGGGGTTTATAGTTTACGGTATTTTATATACTCGTGTACCTGACGCTGACCATGAAAAAATAGATCGTTGCTAAATGAGAGTCGAGGTATCAAAGCATTCGATACCAATGCTTTGGCATCATTGTGAGCCGACATATGCACGGAAGTGGCCGCTGGAAGACTGGATTTTTGATTCAATAGCTTACAGATTTCTTGTATAGCTTGAAGAATTGTTTGTTTAGCATGAACATGGCGACACAAGGCAGTAGATACCGTCACACGGAGCAGTCGAGTGCGATCGTACATTCTTGTTATACAAAATGGAAGGGAAAACATGTTGCTAAAAAAGAGGGATTTGCTCTTACAAAGAAATATCCTTTGTAAAGGTGAAATAAACACATAAGTTGTCAGCAAAATGAGCAATTTTTCTATTTATATGTACCAAATGTTTGGTCATAAATGTTATCAAACAGTAAAAGCTACCCATTTACATAACCTGTAGTTTACAAAACAAAATCCAATAAAAAAAAGGACCCGTCATGCTGACGTAAAGCTGCTTCTAGCAAAACAACGCTTTACTGTATAACTGTATTAACTATTAAATTGCATAAGCTCTTGTTGCAACTCAAATTGCGCCTTCACACGCTGAGCTTCAAGTCCTCGTGTCAATTCAATCTGTCGATACAAAATATAAGATTAGAAAGGTATCTACCATAATCACTTCTTTCTTACCTTCTTTTCATTAAGATAATGATATGCTTGCCAATGTGATTCTTGTAAAACTTCCACTTGAGCTACACTCAAACAACAACAATTCATCATTCGTTCAACTTCACAATCACTCCTTGATGACGCAATTAGAAATGTCTCCACGTTAATTTCTAATTCCGCAGCAAGCGGAAACGTTTGATGAAAACACGCATTCATCCTGTCGTAGGACATTGTGTTCAATCCTTCTCTTGTCTCATCTCCACTCTCTTTATGACTGTACGAAGGAGATCTTAACAGTACCGACCAATGCGTGGAGCTTGAACAATGACTCTCTTTGGCTGAAACAGATTCATCTGGTCTTGCTGGGACTGTTTCGGTAGTAGACGACATATTGTCTGACTTGGATGATACTGATACTAATGATGATGATGATGATGGCTTTGTTGTAGATGTGATGGTAGTAACATACTTGGATGGAGACGTTTTCATCGTTTGATTTAGTAAAGCTTTCGTGTCTTCACTTGACCGTTGATCCTTGCGCCCTAAACAAAAAGACAGTCGACACATTAGTTTCATGTTTCCATGAGGACATAATGCTACCAATGTACAAGTTCGTAGACACAAACAACAATTCTCACGATTCTTAGAGATAACACTTTGCCATGGACCACAATGAACATCCATTGTTTCCAGTAGAGTTGAATCAACTGGAGCCGAGGTTGAGTGAACTTGGGCTCTAACACTTGCAGGATCGTATCCAGAAGACGTAATCATCATCGTGGTGGTATTCTCAATACTTTCACCAGTATTCAGCTCGTGTGGTGTTGAAATTCTCGTGGACCCCTCCTTTGGTGCGTTGTCTACAGCCTGAGCTTTCGTCTTGGTCTTCTTTTTCTTCTTCTTTTTACTGCTTTTCTTTACAAAGGACTGGGTGCAATTGCACGCATCTCTCGCTTCATTTGCGACCAAATCCATCAACTCTTGTTCCACTTTGGCTCTCATGCGAGCAGCTTCAATCTCTAATTGCGCCATCTTTTCGCTCAATAGGTCTTGAATATGCGCAGATGATGATATCTCCTTACTCAAGTCCAGCACCGTCTTTCCAGCTTCATTCCGCAATGTAATATCAAGGTCCCGTGCATTTGAAATAAGAGACTCCACTGCAAGAGAACTTTCACTCACTACGGCAAGGTGTAGTGCCGTATTGCCTCCAGCCTTCTCCACAGCATTCACATCAGCTCCATTTGCAACTAGAGTTTTCACAATAAGAGCACTTTGCTCCATCCTTTCATCGATACTCGGTGCACCAGGGCGTGGATCTCCACCAAGGCGTGCAGCGCACATGAGAGCGTTTAGTCCGCTCGCATTGGTTGTGTTTACGTTGGCCCCCATCTCAAGAAGTAGCTGTACTGCCATTATGCTTTTTGCCACACAGGCCATCATAAGCGCTGAAATTAGCAGTTCACCTACAACGTTAAGCCCTCTCATTGCCACTTGGAAAAGACACTACACCCAAACAATATTTGACACACCTGTATCTCCATGGATATTGGTCTGGTCGATGATTTTCTGTAACTTTTGCTTCCGTTCTGGAGTAGCAATTAACTCTTTCATCACCCGATTCTAACATGTCAGATATCATGTGAGCCCTTTTTTCATTCAATACATCAAGACTCAGGATATAACTTACGTTCTTGGACATAGCAGTCAGATGGAGTACAGTTGTTCGATTGCTATACGTCGCGCAGTCAAGTGCCGTAGTTTGGTCAACAACGTATCCCACAAGATCATCACGTCCTTTCAGTGACAAATGCATCAATAGAATACGCACAAGAAAGGACGTTAGTAGCTTTAACATATTTATTAAGAAAAACACAATGGAAGCCGTGATTTTTCCAGTCTACCACAGGCACAAATGCTCATGAGAAGGCTCCAGCCTAAAAGATTTGGTTGGTTAAAGTCAATATGATGATCAGTAAAATACTTGATGCATTTGTCATAATCAGCATATTCAATATAGTTATGAGCAAAGGCCTGTGTCCTTATTGCTAACGGATTGGTGGTATCCGTCTCCATTCTGACCAGGAGCTATGTTAGTTATCTAATGACCAATCAAATAATTCTGACTTGAAAAAATCGTACATAGTTGGGATACGTGTGAAGTAATATGTACGTACTATATGGAAGTCAAATGAGCTGTTCTTATGAGGAAGGTCATTGGAAAGTACACGAGACAACAGAATAGTAAAGTACAATAGAAGGAAAGGACATACAAAAATGAACATAGTGGTGATAAATAAGGGTAATCTATTGAAGAAGAAGGACAAGAGGTATGTTGTACTAGTCAGATCGATGGCTACATTGCAGCTGATTGGCTGATGATGTTGAAGTGAGGATATTGTTGAAATGGCTACAGTGTTTTTCTGAAGTGCTCCATCTCATCATGACCCGTGAGCTTTATGAGCTAATGGACACGTTGTTGAGAGTGAAGCACAAGACGGAATATGATGGTAAGCAATAAGAAGGAAAAGAACAAGAAAAGTGACCAAATTCACGAGTTGAAGACGAGGATTGACGAAAGACTGCATTCGTTGGCGATGGTATAATAACGCACCCGTCTAGTGTGTGTGTGGAATACTTATGACAGATTTTTAATAGCTACCGACGCTAGCAGACACTAATGTGATGGTGACGAGGCGAAGCAAATACTCTCGATAGGCTATCTAATGTCAACAGGAGATCAGAGAAGAAATTCGACTCGCTGGTATCGACATTGAAGACCTTAGAATCAGCTAGACTGACAACATGACTGCAGCATGCTTCTAACAAATGTCGTATGTGTAATTTCAGAGCAAGTTCTTGTCGAAAGAGGTAGCAATGCGGATGGATATCGTGGTCCAATATTACGCCGAATACGAGCGCATCAAAGAGTTGGCAGCAGCCACTTATCACACTGCAGCCGGTCCACATGCGTTTCATACGAGCTGTTTTGCGTCACCAATTGGATGCTTCAAGAAAAGTACGTTTACACCACGAGCAAAATCCAGTAGAGCATCTGAGAGTCCAGTTTTTGGTGGGTGGGCCGCGGTATTGGTGACGATGGTTCCGAGGCTTCCGAGATAGTGAAGTTGTTACTGACTATCAGCATGCTGTGCTGGCAGACATACAAAAACGATCTACGCTTTGTATGTAGGTTGACGCACTAGTGCTTGCAAGCATGCCGTGCAAGTTCCTTCGTGCCCACCGTACTTGATAAATGTAGGACATCATCATTAAGCACATTGGCACAGATGTTGGAGCTTGATGTGCAGGCGCGCATGCTGAATGAAGAGCTGCGACATCAGACCATTATGTATGACGGTCTCGTCGAGCAGACTGATACCACAAAAGCGCACGGTATATGGTGATTCCATCGTACATTAGTACTATGCTAAAACTCGTCGTCGCACGGAATCCACTGGATTGTTCTTGTAGTGGAAAGCATCAACAAGACGATGAAAGACGCGCAGTTGAGAACCAGGCGCAGTCCAAATAATGCATGATGCAAAGATTTGCCTTATCTTGCTGCTTGGAATCGTGGCTAACTGCTATAACATGCTTGTCAGGAAGAGTCCATAATAAACGCCCACCCCCGCAAACATGATAAACAACTCACTTCACAACTTACCAGATCGATTTATCAAACTACTGCTAAATCGCATCAGCAGAATGACCTACTCTTACTTTGTACAAATACGTATTCGAAGTAGCCCAGACAGATTCGATAAATCGCTGTAAGCAAAACGAAGTACGCACCACCATTCCCATAAGTTAGAAGTCCATAATTTTTAAGTGTATTTTTCATCGGTTGTAACAGTTTCAGCGTGTTGGCAATTGCCACACCTCCATATAGTAGTCATATTACTTAACCTGCAGCATTCAACGCGTCCAGCAATTGGACAATGTGACCTGAAACTCCTCTTCGACGCACTTCTCCATCAAAACGAAAGCAGCTTTCAGCTTTCTTCAAAATGCCCGGGTACTCTCAAACTCACAACTACGGTCCGTAGATTGATCGTGGCGGAGGTCCACCGACTATACCTGGTCCAGTTGGTCCACTCATGCCCATACTTCCCATTAGCGGTGGTCCATGCGGCGGTCCTAATCCAAATTGTTGTAACCTTAAGTGTCTCATACTAAAACCTCCCCAACCAACTATTATAGCTCACCTCGAAACATCGGTGGCCGCATTCCTGTAGGAGGTATCATGCCCCGTGGAGGGCCACCACGTGGTGGGTATCCACCAGGCATTCCGCCATTGACGGGTCCAGTAGGTCGAGGTGGCAATGAACCAGCCAATGCTGGTCCACGTAACCATTCCCCAGCTATAGAACCATAATAATATGAGTCATAGCATCAATATAAACATAACTAGATTGTTACAGTATACCGTACGCGTCATCACTACGCCCTGGCCAGCCAAGAATTGCTCGTAATAGAGTTTAACATTCTCACGGTGTTTCCAGCCACGATTATGCTGTTTTCGACCTGCTTGCTGTATACGAAATGATACAAAAAAGATAAAAAATTCATTTACGTGTAAGAAAAGTATGGATTACTACAAGAATGACGTACTGAATCATGCGTAAGGTAGGTATCACAATAGTCACAGTAGTATCGCGGCATATTGGTTGTAAATGGATTGCAACTGGAATTGAAGTATAAATTGGGTGTTGAGCTGTAAAATATCGGTAATTTATGTTGTCACATGTAACTTTTCTTACAAGTTTTAAGAGCGCAAAAAAACAATCTTGCTGTCATAAACATGAGGGAGTCCACCTCTTTATTACAAACCTTCTCTAATCAGCCAGTGCTTTCGTAGCCATTCGCTTATTTTGTCATCCAGTCATCATCAATTGCGATTAGTTCTCTATTCCATCGACTCAAACCTACGACTGCATTCTTGGCACGTCATTCTTTCAACCTTTTGCATTGATATTCTAGACCATGTCCACTACTACTACCAGCACGACAACGTCTGAAGTAACAACAAAGCAATGGTTTCATGAGACTGAAGCCATGTGGCCTGGTCAAAAGTTTTCACTTGAGATGAAGGAGATACTTTTCCAGCGTAAATCCGAATTTCAGGATGTATTAGTATTCAAGTCAGCTACTTATGGGAATGTCCTTGTATTAGATGGTATTATTCAACTTACAGAACGTGATGAATTTGCCTATCAAGAAATGATTACGCATTTACCAATGTTTGCACATCAACAACCAAAACGTGTGCTTATTGTTGGTGGTGGCGATGGTGGTGTCTTACGTGAAGTGACGAAACATGATTGTGTACAAGAAATTGTCATGTGTGAAATTGATTCAATGGTATGTGATGTGTCTAAAAAGTTCTTTAAGGATACAGTAGCGACGGCTTTTCATGACCCGCGGGTCACACTCCTACATGCTGATGCTGCTGTCTATCTCCTTGAAAATAGAACGGAAAAGTTTGATGTTGTCATAGTCGACTCATCGGATCCAATTGGACCTGCTGAAGTTCTCTATCGTGCTGAATTTTACGAGAATATGAAGAACTCACTGTCTCCTGACGGAATTATCTGCACTCAAGGTGAGTGTCTGTGGCTGCATCTTGACCTCATCGTAGACGTCATGCAACGCTGCCAAAATCTCTTTCCTTCAGTCAACTACTCGTATACGACTATACCCACTTACCCATCGGGCCAGATCGGCTTTATCATGTGCTCGCTCGATGAAAGTGAGGGTGTGTTGACAAAGCCCAAGCGCTCACCAGATGCTAAGATGGAGCAGACTCTGCGCTATTACAACCCCAAGATTCACGAGGCTTCGTTCGTGCTGCCTAGCTTTGCTGAGCGCAAGATCAGCACTGTGCGCAAGTGACATGGTATTAGAATGTTACCGAGACCCCATAAATCCAGCATTTTCACCAACTGAGAATAAAAGCAAAATGTGTAACGTCAAAGCCTCCGAGTTGTCTTAATTCACCTTGCATTCAGCTTGTCGTCGTCTCACAGTTTAGACGTGGAGATGTCACTAGGCACGAACAGCGTGATCTTATTGACTTTCCAGCAGAAATCAGGTGTTTGCTCTTGAATGTGCTTCCAAATGTACGGCACGAAAAATTGCTCTGGGTTACTCTCTTCTTCGTATCGGTAGCTAGTATCGTCACCGTCGACGGACGTCCTAGACTTTGTAGAACCTCTTGCCCTTGATCTAGTACTTGACGCTGCTAGAAGGCTAGTGCATTCGCTACGGATAATCTTCAGTATCATGTCAGCGTTGAGTATATCGTCGGGAGAAGTCTTCGCTTTTACAACTGTCTCAAACTGCGCCAACGTGATCCACACAGGACTGTTGTGCACGTGCGCAGCAAACTCGGAATACTGCTGTAGCGTTGCAAATGTATCGGCACGGTGCAGCAATGAATAAATAAGTTGCGGGTTACGCGGCAACAACATTGGCTTCAGACAAGACGATACCACATCGAGCAACAACCGGATAAACTCGACGTACGCAGAACGTTTCTGAGCTAGCGCATTATATTCGTCTTCGTCTGTAGCCTTTAAGCCTTTCATCCGTACCACTAGCTTTGCTTCGTTTTTAGCCAGCATGTCAATGACTCCAACGATACCTTGAGCAGCATACATGTGCAGACTCTCGGCCGACCGAGCAAGGTTGGACAGGGCTGCAAAAGCGTTCAAGTGGATGAAGTTATCCTGAAAGTGGGTGATGTTGCGGATTATGAGCCGTGTGAAGATGATCATCATGAGGCTGCCCAACGAGACATCTACCATGTAATGCTCTTGATACCATGGCACCTTGGGTACGATCAACTGCGTATGCGTATTATGAACAAACGTTGGGTTCTGTGTGAACGTCAGCAACACGACCACTAGCATGTACAAACGGCTAGGCTCTACAGACCGCGCGTGGTGCAATATCTCCAGCAAAGGCAGCAACAGACGCTCCATGTCTGCACTGCTTACAGCCCTATCCCATACCATTGGATTCGTGTACAATAGCGTGTACAACATGAGATGACTTGCTTCGTATGGTGCGTGGCTTCCAATGACTTTGAATACGTTCGAGATCAGTAATTTCAGTTTCTGCGCACCTGAGCTCTGAGATGTCCCATGATGCTGCATTAAACGAGGTCTTAAGTCCTTCATCTCCGCTTGCGAGCTTTCTATTATGCCAGCACCGTCTATGATGCGACAAAGTGCGCCTCGAAAAGGATTGCTGGTCACCATAGAGTCATTGTCCCGACAACTCTGAAGCAATACCAGTAAAAGCAGGACACTTCGATCGGCGAGCGGGCTTGGGGTATCCTCACGAGAGGTCATAGACCTGATGAAGCTCAACGGATAGCGGAATATTGATGCTGCATAGCACAGTGAACGCACACAACAGTAAGACATGGACCTCAAAGAAGATTTTTTTGAATACGCCAGAATACTTACCCGCAGTCGAGCCAACGCTTTCCAGTGTAAAGTGGGGAAACTGTTCCTGCTCATGTTTTTGGTTGGAGAGTACCGACATCGCAACAAGTGACATCTCTCGAGCTTTTTCCAGGGCAATTACTGCCGTATTGGTCATCGAGCTAGATCCCGTAGCTTGGAGCTGATCAATGCTATTTTGCAGCAAGCGACGAATCACACCAGAAGCCCAATAAGACTTTTTACCACAGGGCGAAGCAGACATCATAAGCATGCGAAGAAACGGGTTGTGTAAATGTAGATCACTAGCTTGCTTTGTATAGTCGCAAGAATATACCACAGGAGACAAGAGTACCAAGAGCAAATTGACTATTTCCATGTGTAAATCGTATGTCGTTTCACTTTAGATACATGGTCAACGCAAACAAACAGGTAAGAGTAAGTGTTAGTATCTCAAAATTGATAACACTACCGTTATAACGGAGAACAGGATGTGCGTACTTTGGCGGTAACTCAATGAGAACGGTGAGCAGTGCATCTAGTAAGGGAAAAGCAAGATCGTCTGAAAAGTCTTCTGGCGCACACACATCATTGCTACTAGCAGTCTCCGCCTCCATCTGAATGGAAAAGCTATCTACTCTCAGTGGCAATAACTCGAATGTCAGTCATGATAGATACATCACCACTTACATTGCATGAACCCACGTTTTAATGTAGTCGAGGTGCCATTGGACTCTGTCAATGCATGGTATTGAAAGTGACTGAGCAATGAATACTCATCCATCCTTTCGATAAATCTCATCGTAAACTGTCGAGCCAAAAACAGTGCGTTCACCGCTCGATGCACGTGTGTTTTTACTACTTGCAGTGTCCCATCTCCCACTTTTAAACTTGCTGCCTCTGGATCAAAAGCGTCCAGTGAATTTTCCATCATCTTAGCCACTCGACAGCAGAATGACAATTCATAAATTACGTAGCGCACCAAGACACAGAAATTCCGAGATTGAAGATTGTTTTGTACTGTTTAGAAAGTAGTAGCAAGTAGTTAATTGTTCGTACCATCTATACATTGTATTGCAATAGTATTGTAGTGCTATATCGACATTCTTTACCTAATGTGTCTCCATGTTCACGTGTTAAAAGTTCCACTTGGGTCTGTGATAGTTGAGGTAATGACGTTATCGATGATAGTACCGTATCATAAACGATATTATCATAGGGAATAGGTATCTTGTCGATAATCTTTTGAAATGCAGCTTGTTCCTGACCAGAGGCAAAGATCTGTGCGACTGCAGTCAGTGACGATGTGGATACTCCCATGTCACTTGAGACTCTGAAGTAGGAGACTTGGAAGACGTTTTCATTGGATAAAAATGAAGCAACTTCGGGATTGTAGAATGTAGCCATTTATTATTTTCAGGCCTACTATGTGGATCGAATGTGAAATTCACACATAAGCGGAAGATGATCAGATGGAGATCTCGTACTTGGTAATGCAACGTTCTTGCTAGCATCTTCAAATGACATGATCTCCATAAGTGCTGCTGGTTGTATCCTGTGTAAATGGCACAAAGTCAGTCAATTAGCATACTACTGAGTACAAAATGCAGTTTACACATACCTAGAAGAGCGATAGAAGATATAGTCCAGTGTACCGACAAAGCGTGGTACATGCGTACCATCATCCGATATAGCGTCACCGCTTACATTCGTAAACATGGGCTCACCATTGGTTTCATAGTGTGAGTACGCACTGTGATAGTTGTGATTCTTGGTGATGAAATTGTACACTTTGCTGTCGGGTAATGAATTGAAGTCACCGGAAAAAATGAGAGGCAGAACTGTATCCATTGTCCATGTAAACGTCTCCATCGCTTGCAACATTCGACGCGTCTGTAGCAGCTTGACGTCTTCTTGCATTGGATCCCAAAATAAGTGCGTCGTTGCGACCACAAACTCGACCTGCGTCTCAAGGTGCTCGAAGTGCACAATTAAACCAACACTTCCCCTCGTTGAAGTCCTCAACCGTAATTCATTATCGATGTCTTCTCAAAAATGTATACACGACAGTAGAACGTCATAAGCGTCATCTCACGTTCATACAAATGCAGAATGCAAGCATACCCGACTCATCTCCACTAGGCAGGTCCAGACTAACTTGCTGAAACTTTTTTACCTTTAGCTTCTCTGCTCTCCAAAATACAGCCACACCGTCAAGTTTAGCGCCTGTTTTCTTGATAAAAATGCTATTTTTCGTAACAAATCAAGCAGCAATGACCATGAGACAAACGAAGACTAGAGTCTACAAGAAACAAATGAAGCAAAGCAAACGGTGATGTATCATACCCTTCATACCCCAATTTCTTCATCATACCAGCCCAAAACTCATTATAGTTGTCCACTTCCTGTTACAGCATAATACTAACAGTGTAAGTATTACCTCATTGTCAAAAGAGATGTTTTGTACTGACCTGCAGGCAAATGACATCAGGTGAGACCGGTAGACTCAAGGCAAACACCACTTCCTGCTCCGTAACTCATTAGTAGCATGAAATATTACATCAAACAAGTACAAAATCTCCTCATTGTACCAATTTTGTGGATCTTTTCTTCCATTTGAGCTCACTGGACTTGCAGTATGGGAAAAAACTCGAGCGGATGTAGCACTGTGCCAACACATTATACGTCATCACCAGCAGTTTCTGTACAATTTCAGTCGCTGCAGCACATAGAATTATATGAGCAAGATATCAAAGCAATCGCTATTTGAATAAGGAGCTTGCATTTGGACCAGAAACGCGTTCTTACCATCGCCATCGAGCGGCAGTACGCGCAACCTCTGCGTCTTCATGGAGTTTGTATCTTGTACGATTCTGCTATTGGTCATAAATACGTTATTGAGCACTTTATTGTACAGCAACATTACATCTAATCGGTGCTCTCTATTTTCTTTTTCTGTTTTATGAGTGGCTGAAAATGCGACAGACGATTGACTGGCGAGCATGCTCTCGTCCTTTGACATTCTCTATTGCCAAATAGTGCTGAAATCACAAAGGCTTCCTCAATTCAAAGGTAAGAAACAGACGTTTGTATCTATAAGCGCAATATCTTTTGTCTCGTATTCCAATGAGCCACACTCGCTGCTTTTTTGCTACCAATTGAGTCAATCAAACGATGCAATTTAAAGCAAATGGGAGCAATGACGTCAATAGGTTGATGATAAAAGACAGGAGAGACAGGAAATGAGGGCTAACACAGCTATGCGGCTACTTGGTATTGTAGATGGTGCAGGTTACTCCCGTCATTCGCCCAAAGATCGTCAAGAAGAAGGTGACAAAATTCAAACGTCACCAATCCAACCGCTTTAAACGTGTGCCAGAGTCATGGCGTCGCCCGAAGGGTATTGATGGCCGTGTGCGCCGAAAATTTAAGGGCGCTATCAAGATGCCAAATATTGGTTATGGCTCGAACAAGAAAACACGTCACCTGCTGCCCAATGGGTTTCTCAAGTTTGTTGTCAACAATGTGACTGAGCTTGAGATGCTGCTCATGCACAATCGCAAATACTGCGCTGAGATCGCCCACAATGTGTCGGGTCGCAAGCGTCGCGAGATTATCGAGCGTGCTGAGCAGCTGAATGTGCGTGTGACGAACCCGAACGCTCGCGTACGTGCTGAGGAGAACGAGTAAGTGCTTTATTCGACGAGTAGAAAACTACAGGAGTGACGATTTGAAGGACAGACGACGTCTTTGCGTCTGGATGAGGCGACGCTATATGACGAAGGCAGGAACCAATTGTGAGAAAGCAAGGAAGCAGTTCCAGTCAGGGCGATAATCGATAATTTACCGCTAGCGCCCAGCTGGATATGTGGACTAGCTCGTGTGTAGTGTTTTTGTTTTGTCTGCTTGCTGTCGTATGCTGTTTGTTGTATGGATCGCAAAAATGCAGAAAAGGATAGATAGGTGGTGAGTGACACGGCAGATTATACAGCTTCTAACCACACGAACAGCTTGATCCGACTTGCCCTGTCGCATGTCTTCTTTGCGAATCAGTAGAATCATATCGCACATACGAGAGATTGGCAATATTGCAATGTATCATTGTTCACTTTGCATGTACTGAAATGATTCGTCCACAAAGATATGATTGCTACCCTATGGTACGTCATATTCGTAACACCGTATATTCAATTGAGTAGGATACAGTATGCCAAGAATGATGCCTTTCCATAATATGCATTTCTCTACACTTTTCTTACGTGGTGCTCGTTATGGTGGCGGTATCGCATTGTCTACATCTCCGTATCAGCTACATCCTGTTGGTACTGGCAGAGTACGCTGTATTACTAAGCGTGCAGCAGATGAAGCACGTCGAATATCCATCAAGAAGCGCAACCGCCGTGCTGTCATTTATTTAGCTGGCACGGCTATTGCTTGGGTCGGTATTTCCTATGCTGCTGTCCCGCTTTACAAGATCTTTTGTCAAATGACGGGCTTTGGAGGCACGACACAGCGTGTTGAGGAGTTTGTAGCTGAGAAACTAACCCCTCGCGAGGATTCAAGGCCTATCCGTATCACATTTGACGGTGGTGTGAGCGCCAATATGCCATGGGTCTTTCGACCACAGCAGCGTGATCTCTTAGTGGCACCTGGTGAGACAGCATTGGCTTTCTATACGGCCAAGAACAAGACAGATCGGGCAATCACAGGTGTTGCCACGTACAATGTGTATCCCCCATCGGCTGGTGTGTACTTTAACAAGATTCAATGCTTTTGTTTTGAAGAGCAGAGACTCAAGCCAAAGGAAGAGATTGATATGCCAGTTTTTTTCTTCATTGATCCAGAAATCTGCGATGACCCATCAATGAATGGTGTGCACAATATTACACTATCGTATACGTTTTTCAAGACTGATGATGTCAGTGAAGATGAAGTGAATGACAATGATGATTAATGAGAGAGAAAGAGTACTAGACAAGAAGAAGAAGAAGAAGGAAGACATGACACAAGATAGCTACTAATTGTCCACATTAGAGCTATAATAGCGTATAGTGAGTAATCATCTTGGGTACATCCAATGACTAGGTTGTTTTTGATTGGTTGAAAGTATACGCTCCTGTCAATTGATTTTGCTCCAATCCCGTATCATCATTAATTCTCTTTCATCATATCACACTTGTGCTAAAAGGACAAACACATACAAATATATAGATAGTAAGTATTATACAATACACTTAGTTCCATCCTTTGTTCATCTGTCTATACGAATATTAAATTAAAATCCATGGCTAGTAAAGACGACCATAATGATGATGAAATTCGTGAACAAGATCGGTTCTTACCAACTGCAAATATCTCACGTATAATGAAAGTCTCTTTACCATCTACAGCTAAAATTGCTAAAGACGGTAAAGAGACAGTTCAAGAATGTGTGAGTGAGTTTATCTCATTTATCACGAGTGAAGCAAGTGACAAATGTCAACAGGAAAAACGCAAGACAATTAATGGTGATGACATTATATGGGCCATGAGTACATTGGGATTTGATTCGTATGTTGAACCTTTGAAACTTTATCTACAAAAATATCGTGAATCGGTAAAAGTCGAGAAGAATGATAAGAAGGATAATGTTGGATCCTTTGGTGCGTCTTCGTAGGAATGAGGAGGAGGAGGAGAAAGAGGAGATGGAGATGGAGAAGGAGGAGATGGAGGAGGATAGTACAAGTAGTAGTACAAACAGCAAGTCAGCAGGTCAGGAGGAGAGAGAGAGAGAGAGAGAGACAAGGGAGACAGACAGTCTTTGTTGAGATGAGAAAACACAAACGGTAGTGATGGGATTAACAGCTTGTGGATGAATATGTACTGGACAACCTATAAAAAGAGTGAGAAGCATTGGACACAACGGTCTTGTCAGACACTATCAAGTCGAAAAGATTGAACACAAAAAAGCACGTGGGTAAACGTGCAGAGTAATTGATTGAACCGGTAAGCTGCAGATAATGGAAAACAAAGATCTGTTGATGCCGCTGTCATGAAGTTTTTGTCGGACGTGTATCTACTACTTGTGATCACGCGAGAGAAACGCAGTGTGAAAAACACCTTTTCTGATTTTTCTGTGGACTCATTAGAAGTTGTATGTAATCGCGAGTCACAGCTCTTTTCTACATCGGCACGGTCGTTCTTTTCCGACTCGAAGATTCACCTTAGCCGCCCCATGATCAGTCATTGTTCATTATCAATTTCTTGTGCTAACTCTTGCAACGTCTGCTTTTATTCCGGTATTGCTGCACTATTCGTCCAGTCCAACCATTTGCTATGATTGGAACTATTTGGAGTGACAACGTTGCTACAAGTCTGCACAGTCTCAAATTTAACACCTGAACGACTTTGAATGAGTAACAAGGACATTGATAAATGAACTACACGTGCATTCTTAAATAATTACAATCTATCCAGATGGTGCACCATTAAGCTTAAAGCATTCGAGCTAGCTATCTCTGCCAACCCGGTCCTGATGAACTAACGTGTGACCTTGCTCGCTTCTTAGTTGGTCCAGGTGACGCGGAACGACTGATAGACCGACCTCGCACTGCTAGCCTAGCTGCTACTCTTGAAGCAGAAGCTGCTGTTCCAGCAGTTGCACTTGACGCACTGCCAAGGCTTGGCCGCTTAGCTTTCATGGTGGGAATCAATCCGCTTGACGAATCGTTCGAGAGTGGAGACATGAATGGCGCCGTGTTACCTGTAGACCCCACTATATTCTCCTTCTCCTTTAGCATCATCCGTAGCTTCTCAAGTGATCGCTGCAGTTTAAGCTTGTCGTCTGTTAGCAGCCGCACCTGATCCAGAAGACGGTTATTCTCCTCCTTCACCTTAACGTGATGCTGAATTTTTTGGCGGCTATTGCGATGACCAACCAGCTTCTCGTTCTCTTTCGACAACATCTCTACCTTTTTCATAAGAGCCTGAGTCTCTCGCTGCAACTTCACCTTCTCAGCTAAGAACTTGCGCTTAGCCTGCCCAAGCACGTCTTGAGACATCGCCGTCGTCTGTGCTTCCTTCCGAGCATTCTCAACTAATGCCTTCTCTGCGTCTACCGCCTTTCGAAAAGATCTGTTTTGCTCTTCGGCAACGTCAAGCTCACTACGACGACGGTTGAGCTTATCTTCCCGCTCCTTCAGTTCGGATATCGCCTTCCTGAGACTTGCGTTTTCCGTTTCTACCAATTTGTGCTTCGCCTCGAGTTCTCCCATTGCAAATTGCAAATCCTTAACCTTGACGCTGCTGTCACTCTCTGTCAATCGGTCCTTCAGCTCAGCCAAAGACCTATTGGCCAGCTGAATCTGTTCATCTTTTCGTTCTACGGTCGCTCCAAGATGCTTGATCTCCTGCATCAGCTGCTCAGTCTGCTGCGCCAATATTTCCTCCCCTTCCTCGAATTTCTGCTCAAGTGTGTACTTCTTCGCCAGCAATGCTTCCTCCGCTTTTGCAAACGCTGCAGTCTTCTCCGCTACTAGCTGCTCATATGCTTGTACCTGACCGTAAGCGGCTCCCAGCTCAGCTTTGAATTCGTGCTCCTTTACATCCCACATCAATTTGTCGTTAGACGAACAGTCCTTCAACGTTGCAATGGTGTCGTCTCTTTCCAAGATGGCAGCAGTCTTCTCGGCAAGCTTTACTTCCTGCTCGGACAAAATATTCTGCTGACTCGCTAACTCAAGTTCGAGCTCATGCACACTGTTTTGCATCTCAGCGACACTGCTAGCAAGTTCATCATGTGTTGCGACTGCGTCGGCAGTCTTTGACTCCAGCTCAACGATCTTTTCCTCCCTGTCGGCAACGCAATCCTTGAGCTGCTGCAGAGCCCCTTCCTGCTCTGCTACTGACGTCTTCAGTAGCTCGTTTTCTTGCTCCAATGTGAGCTTCAAAGCTGAGAGCGTCTTCTCGTTCAACATCAACTCGGCAACACGTTTCTCAGAAGCCAAAATCGATGCATGCGAGTGCTGTTCCAGCTCACTCTTTTCGCCCTTCCACTCCTTTCGGGCTTCGGCAAAGTCCTTTTCGATGCTCTGCTTCGATTCTTGTTCTGTCTTTAGCATCGTGACCAGCTTCAAACGATCAATTTCAAGGCTTTTTAACTCGCCACGTAGTGTAGACTGAATCTTCTTGTGCATATCAATCTCTTCTTGCTGGCGTGAGATGTTCAATTCAGCATCTCGAATCTCGCTTGACGCCCTCTCAAGCTTATTTGCCATATCCTTTACAATATCCTTGTTTTCAGCAAGTTTCTGCTGCTGCTCTTCGATCTTTCTTGCATTAGAGGCAAGTTCATCGAGCTGTTGAGAGTACGTCGTTGCAGCTTGACGGCAACCTTCCTGTGCCGACGCAAGGTCCTTGTGAATACTAGCAATTTCATTTGACTGCAAGGTGATCTGCTGCTTCAATTTTACAACTTCTTGCGTAAGACTGTCAATGGTGTCGTCTGAACGAGAGAGCTGATCTTGCTGCAGCTCGCATTGCTTCTGCAACTCAGCATTCTGATCACCTAGTTCGCTTGCTTTTACAAGCAATTCTTTTGAATGCTGTGACAAATCTTGAATCTCTTTTGCCATTGTGTCCTTTACAAGGTGAAGTTTCTTCGTACCGTCCTGAAGACTCTCAATTTTTTGCATTGCAGAAAAACGGTCGAATTCGACTTTGTTCTTCTCTTCATACACCTTCGAAAGATCAGCAAGTGTCTTGGACAATTTCTGATGGACTTCTCCCAACGCTTGCTCATATTCCTGTTTTCTGTCATCGAGCTGTTGCTGAAGCACAGTAACTGCCACGTCCTTTTCTGCCAGCAGTAAGCTGTGAAGACGACCAGCTTCTTCTGCATTAGCTCTGTGAATCCCAAATTCAGCATCAAGCTGCTGAAACTTTTCATCTTTCAATCGCAGTTTCTCGCTAAAGTCCTCAGTCAACATTTGCTTATCCTCTTGTGCTTGACGCTTCAATAACTCAGTCTTTTCTGTATGTTGTTGTGCGGTTACATTAGCATCCTTCTGCAACTGTATGATGTACTTTCTCAACTCCTCAAGCTTCAGTTCCAGTATGGTTTTTTCCTCGATAACCATTGCTACCTGACGCTTCTGCTCATTAATCACGTTCTCACGCTCAGAAATTTCGGCTCGAAGCTGGACTTCTTGTAGTGCACTTTTCTCCAGTTCGCCTCGAGCCTCTTTACATTTTAATAATGATCTTTGGTATTCCTGATCAAGTGTAGTAATTTCCACCTTCAGTTGAGCAAATGCATCGTCCGCTTGTTGGACCTGATACTCACGTTGTTTGAGATCCTCATTCGCAGCAGTAAGCTGATGCTCTAACCGCCTTTTTGAGCGCTCAAGAGATCGATTGGCAGTAGCAGCGTCAGCTAATGCAGCCTCAAATTCAAGTTGGACACTTTCACATGCTCGATCTAGTTGTACCTGCAGCTTGTCAGCTCTAGTCTTTTCTTGTATCAGCAGATTATTCGTCAAATGTTGAGCTTCTTCTGAATGTTGTAGAGCTGCTGTTGAATCTGCAAGTCGGCGTTCGAGATCGTGTTGCTGGACTAACCACGAACCTTCCAGCTCCTTCATTTGTATAAGCTCAAGCGATGTCTCTGCTGCTTTCTCTTCCAGACAGGCAATGACAGATGCCGCTGAATCCACCTTGGCCTGATACTCGTAAGCCTGCTGCTTCAGTGACTCCTCCAATCGTGCGGAAAAGTCTGCATCTTCATTTTTTAGCAATGAAAGACCTTCCACGTTTTGCTCCTTATCAGCTTGATTATCCAGCAGTCGCTCTTGTAAGTCATGCTTTTCGCGCAGCACAAAAGCAAGCTGCTTTGTCAAAGATAAAAGCATAATGTTGACGCTTTCAACTTCGCTCTGAACCTTGTCTGCACTGCCAGCATCTTCTATTCCACTGCGTTGTAGCTTCTCCTGAATCTCAACAAAGCGCTCCTCCATCTCATCGTATTTTATTCTCCACTCAATGGCGTCAGCTGAAGGCTTATATTCATGCACTTCGGTGCTGCCAATTCCGCGAAGTCGAAGCATCATCTTCAATTGCGCGACACTTTGTTTCAAATCCGTGCAAAGCGCTCGAAAGTTTCCATTTTGAAGCTGCAGAAACTCGCATGAACGCAGCAATCGATCGTTTTTCTCTGCAGCCATTGCAAACGATTCTTCCAGCTCGCGGATGCGCGTGTCAATGACAGGATCACAAGTTCCAAATTGTTGAGACAATGGAGCAACAGAATCTTGACTTGAAGTAACGTCTGATGGTGTTGCGCCTTGATGTAAGAGTATATTAGAGCCTGCAATACTGCGTGATGCTTCTTGATGTGCCTGCTGCAGCTGCCGTCGAAGTCGTCGGACCTCTTCTTGCAACAAGAGCGCACTGCCAACAGAGTCTTCGTTGATGACTGCACTATTCTGAATCATCTTTGCTCGTTGAGCAAACTTAAGTGTGGAAAGTGTCTCGAATGCAGAATCTTCGGCTGGTGAAATGGTTGCAATCATGAACGTTTTCGAGTTTCCACCAAGCGAATCCTTTAGTAGAAATGTCAGCTTGGAATCACGGTAATGCACGTGGCGATGTTTACCCACCGATTGCTCCGACAAGCCCAATATGACATTACCAAGAGCAGATAATGACTTGTTAATATTGCCGGCCTCCTTCAATCGTTCTCCCGCTGCGTCAGTACTTCGTTGTCGTTCTGAACCTGCTAAATCCACCAAATTAAACCGCGACGTACGGATCTTCGTGCCTTCCGGTAAAATCTCCTTGGACTGTAGCTGTAAAATGAACACACTATGTGATCGACTGCTTTCTCTGTTCATAGACGTTTGTCCAACCCGTCGATTCCGAGCACCAATGGTCATGAGTTCCGCTGCTTTCTTCGAGCTAGTCACGACACTTTCAATCAAACCTTCTGCGTAAACACCTTTTCGTCCATTTTCTCTCAATTGTAGTCCTGCTGTATCTTTTGCACTCCCACCGTCAAGTAAATCATACACTCGTTCATTGTAAATCTCTAGAAACGAGCATGCAAACGTATGTTGAACCTGATTGTTTGTATCCTTTGCCACAACATTATCAAAGAGATAATCAAATACGCGTGGTACAAGACCTCGCAGTGAAAACTTTTCTTCTTCCGTTACCAAGCAACAATCATTTACATCCGCATCAATCACGTCATCAGGTCCTTGCATTGTAAACGTTTTGCCTGATCCTGTCTGTCCATAGGCAAAGATCGTGCCATTGTATCCTTCAAGACAGGCCTGTGTAAGCGGCGCACCAACGACCTCAAAAATATCATTCTGGCTCGCAGCTTCATCAAATACCCGATCAAATGTAAATGTCTTTGTTATTCCATGGTGACTCTGTAAGAAAATCGTCTGTTGGGAAGGATCAGAGCTTGGAACGGTCACACATTTCTTCGTAAAGGACGTGGAGGCAGCAGCGACGTTTGTATTGCGCGTCAAAAAGCCCATAGAATTACTTGAGCTTGAGAGTTTACCACCACGCTCACGCTCATTGGGCGGCCGTACGCGGCAAAAGACCTTGACGTTTGCGTCCTGTTCCATCCTATCTGAGTCTGAGGACGTCTGTTCCTTGACGCAGTGATCAATTTTAATTTTTAAATTTTAGATTAAACTGCATATTAGATAAGAAAAAATAATAGTTGTCTGAAGGTTGTTACAGTGTGGAGTAACATTTAGTCCACTCCAATCGAAACATAAACTTGTGCGTCCAATCAATTACCAGTGGCGTCCTATCAAGAGAGGAGAAAAGCGTACGGTGATCATAGATAGATGGAGAGCAAGATAACAATGCAATGACTAGGAGTAAATGGAGTGTAGTAAGTATTGAGGATGCAAAAGTTGCAGTAGCTACCGTATTTTGCTGATGAAATGACATCAGCAATCTGTAACTATCTAGTGCTCCTCGTTCTCACAAAGCTCTTTGTAAGCGGCCTCATCAAGCAAGTCATCCACGTCAGTCACATCATCTAGCTGCAGCATACAAGGTATCCAATTAGTTTTACACATTTTCTTTTTATACTCTTACAAACACCTCATCATAAGCATCTACAACGTACCTCTAGCTTTATAAACCAGCCACCAGTCATTGCTTCGTCGTTCACGAGATTAGGTTCAGTAGCCAAATTCTGTATCATCAAGCAACAGTTTAGTCTAATGACATTCAACAAATGGTATTGGTAGCTGTCACGTACCTCATTGACGGCCGTCACAGTACCAGAAGCGGGCGTGTACACGTCACTAGCGGCCTTAACGGACTCGACGGCACCGAAAGCATCACTTGATTCATACGAAAGAATACCGTTAGAACCTACAACTAGTCACTAAGAAAAGATATTTACACTTACCCTTTCTTAAACTTATCACCCACCGATGGTAGATCCACATATACGACATCACCCAGTGAGTTCTGGGCAAAATCAGTGATTCCAATCGTGCCTTCCTTGCCATTTATTGTCACATACTCATGCTGTGGCGTGTATTTGGTCGAAAAAAAAGCAAGACCCAAAGGACTTTGACCAGCTACACGCCACGCGACAGAAGCTGCTGACGTAATAGTACGAGTTTGCGAGAGAATACGAAGAGCCATGAGTAAATGAGATCAAAGTAATCAATCCTCTCACTGCTTGTCTTCCAAATATTAAGTGTAGCTCCTCATTTCGATGCGGTGTATGTATTTGGTGTGGCTACATTCAAGTATCTTGCGTTACTATTGGTATACAATTTACAAGATAGAAAGTAGAAAACAGATGGCATCGATTTGATTAGCAACGACGAGAGGTGGGTGGTCCAAGCTGTTTCTATTGCGAGTGTATCAAGAAAATGTTGACACGCTTTGCTCTGTGTCATATTAGACACTCCACTGTCCATACTTCGTCTTATCGTTGTCTTTCTACTGCATTTGCTGTTATTGAGAATGAAGTACGACCAGATTGTCGCGTTGTCGAATCATCTAAAACGAAGCTCGTCAAACGAAAGGTGGCGATCGTAGGAGGCTACATGGGTACAGGTTATCATGGCTTGCAGTTGAACGAAAACGTAAACACCATTGAAAACGAGATACGCCACGCCATTTTCAATGCAGGAGCCATCCGCGAGTCGAATCTTGAGGATTTGGGAAAGATCGACTGGGCCAGAAGCAGCCGCACGGATAAAGGTGTGCATGCTGGCTGCATCGTGGTACGTGTGCAGCCAATGTCATTACATCTGTTGATGGTAGATTAATAAGCTGCCAATGTGACCAGGTCATGTTTTAACTTGGTCTTGTATGCTGCAGTTCTCTGGTAAGCTATTGATCGATGAGGAAAACAAGGTGGATCCTGCATCAGGTCGTGTGAAAGGACTTGCGGAGGCGCTGAACACATCGCTACCGGAAAACATCCGCGTATTCTCCTGTACACGTGTCAATAAGCGTTTTTCTGCGCGCAAGAACTGTGTACTGCGTGAGTACGAGTACTTCATGCCGCTGTCGTTCTTGCAACGCAGCGCTCTTGGATCGGACGAAGAAGCTGAGTTTGACACGGATGAGGCTGTCGCTAAATTCTGCCGCGCGCTTCGCCGCTATGAGGGAGTCAATGATTTTCACAATTTCACGCGCTCTAGGTCGCAATTTTACAAGCTGCAGGCAAAACGGGAACAGTGGAAGGCACGAAACCAAGAAGATGCAGCTGATACTAAGCCGGTTGACGACGACGACGACGTGGTAGATGAATTGGTCGACATTGATGAGGAAGAAGAGGAAGAAGAGAGCTCAACTGTCAACAATAACTTTGAAGAGTCCAGCCAGTTTGGAGACGGAGAAGCACTGACTCGCAAACTCTTGCTTCGTCATCGCCGATCGGTTTACTCGTGCTCGGGCAGTCTCGTTCACAATTTCTGTGGTGAGCCATTCTTACGAGTACATATTGTCGGACAAGCGTTCTTGCTGAACCAGATCCGTTGCATGATCGGTGGCGCCCTTGCTGTGGCAACAAAGGGCATGTCCCGTGTTGCATTCGATGCTGCGCTGTGTAAGTTACATTTTTGTGTGACAATCAAAGTGGTTTGTTCTCAAATATGTGTATTGTGTGCTGTTGACGCTAATACAGTGACAAACCGCATCGTTCGCGTTCCGATTGCTCCGGCCGAAGGGCTTGTTCTTCTTAGCAGCTCGTTCGGAGGCAAACTTCACACCGTCTCACTTTATGAGGATTTGAACACGAGTCTTGCAAAAGAGCGCAAGAACCTGACACATCGGGTTCTTTTGAATAGCCGTGAGGACAAAAAAATGAAAAAGTTTCGCGAGGAAGTGATCTACAAGGAGATCTCACGCAAGTGGGATATGGAAGAAAAGATGGACCGATGGCGTGCTTATCTTGAACGGTGCTACGTATCAAATGAACGCCTTGACGAAGACGAGTTATCGAGTATGCTGTATGAACTAGATCAAAGGAAGCTTGCAATTCAGAAGAAGAACCAGTCTTTCATTGAGCGGAACCGTATTGACCTGACTGAGACGGGGCGTCAAGGTGCATTGCTACCCAAGCAATTTACTACAAAACTCTGTGTTCGATACAATGTGGCTCCAGGTATTTTCACTTCCGACTTGCGTCGTGCAGTGACACGGGTACGTGTTAAACTATAATGGGGTTTACTGACACCATTGGAGTGTACTTGAATTAATATGATTGACTGGCTGTAGCATTTGAAGACAGGTAAAATCAAACTTGATGCAAATGAAGAGAAAATCATGGCTTATATTGATACATACGGCTCAAGAAAGCTTGCTATGGAGGGACGGAAGCTACGATTGAGCATTCGATCGTAATGGAGCGAGAGCAAGATATTGATTGGATAAATATCAGAAAATACTCATCCATTATCAACTGGTTATATCTTGTTTGCTATAAATAATAACATTTCATCCAATCAAATGCATTTCTATCGGTATTTTATTCTCTCTCTCCTATTGGTCATATTAGTGACAAAACTCGGTTGAGAGAATCTGGAAGAAAATAATACGTATTAATTCTTAATATGGTAAGAATATCGAAATGAGATTAGTATTAGGAGATATCGATATTGATATATCCGAGCTGAATGATAACGTATTGTGATAACTAGTTTGGAGGTTTTGGTGGAGACGGTAATCCGTTCAACGTGCAGTTTAATTTTGGTGACTTTCCACAACGGTAGGGAACGACAAATATACTAAAGACTGATGGAATTTCTTGCTACTTCTTTTTTTCTGATTATTGTTATTCGGATGATTACGTAAACAACAGATTCAATGAACATTATCGGGTGTACCCAGTATCCTTTTGTGACAAAGGTCATTTAGAAGATGGTGATAAGAGTACGTCTAGTGGCTGATTGAACACAGTACAGCAAATTGAATTTTGAACGAACATGACTCTTGAATTTTGTGTATTTGGTAGTTTTATTGCCTCCTTCGGCACTTGAGACGCTTGGTGCGTACTTTTATCAAGTGTTATGGAAGAAATATGCAAATGGTTGTCATGTTAATTTTTCTTCTTTTTGTTGTATACAGCACGTCTGCATATTGAGTACCCAATGCTATTCAAGGTGATGAATGAAGGAGTAGAACGCTCGTCGCACTGTGGTGTACTGGAGTTTAGTGCTCCAGAGGGGAGCTGTTACATGCCATATTGGGTATGTGGTGGTACGTTAACGGAAAACTTGATGGTTGAGCTGACTATTTCGATCACGTTGGTGTTGTAGATGATGCAAAACCTTTTTGTAAAGGAGGGCGGTATTTTAAATATTCAGAACGTGTCGTTGCCAAAGGCAACATTTGTAAAATTGCGGCCACAGTCTCAAGATTTTCTTAACATTTCCAATCCACGTGCCGTGTATGTCTGTCTGTGATTGGGATACAGTCTGTATCTTGTGTGATAACTAAGAATGTACTGATTGTAGTTTGGAGGGCTCTCTCCGAAAGTTTTCGTGCATGACGGTGGGCGACACGATATGCCTGAAGTACAACAACAAGAATTACATGCTGGACGTGCGTGAAGTTAAGCCTGCACCTGCTGCTTGTATAATTGAAACAGATTGTGAGGTAGATTTTGAGCCTCCTGCCGACTACGCGCCTCCTCCTCCTGCGGCTGCAGCAGCAGTAGTGGCTCCCGCAGCGCCATCGGATACTCCATATGGAGGTACGAGATGCTGTTTTGTAGCTTTTTGCTCACGTGTTATTGAAGCTCACGCATTAGTGCTGTTGTTAAATGATTAGGCGTTCCAACAATGAAAGCGGAACATATGAACCCAGTACGTTGTGGTGGAGCTGGATTTGGTACTGGTTTACGTCTTAACAAAACGGGTGAAAAGAGCTCGACTGACGCAGCAGCGCTCCGTGCTGCTCGCTTACGCAAGTACGAGGCATTTCACGGCACCGGTCAGTCGCTCAATGGGAAGACGTCCACGTTCAGTAGCGTAAGTTCTGGGGGGTTCTCGCTTGGGTAGTAGCAACAGCAGGTTGTCGCAAATCGGACGCAGCAGTCCAGCCACTAGCTCCAAGCCTTCTGTAAGCTATCGGCTGAATGGTGAGGTAGTTCATCTTGCTGATGAAAATGAGGAGGAAAAGGACGAGGAAACGAAAGAGAATGACGACAACCTCAAACCTTTTCATGGTGAAGGCCGGCGGCTGAGATAAATGTCGGTCGGGGCGCGTGGCAAAACCTGTGACGGCAAAGATTTCAAGTTATGAAGGACAAAAATGAAACGAGTCTGCAATTATTTGCCGTGTTTATTGTTTGCATCTATACTGCGTTGACTGAATGCTTGCCTTCTTCAGCATGGAATGTATCTGACACCAAGCTTAATCGTTATGCTTTCAGATAAACTGCACCAAGTTACATGTCATTCAGTGTGACTAGAATGCCCGACGTCACTTTGGTTCGCCGAATTAACCCACAACCTTCCATATCGGCCAAATGAAATTCCAGCTGAAAGCGCGAGTGCTTCAGCTTGATTTTCTTTAACTGTTGCTCTAGCACTTCCTTATACTTTACGCGCTTCAGTGTGCCCAAGATGAGCGTACGCGTCTTCTTAATCGCAGATATGAGCTTCCCTATCCCCGGAACAGAAAAGAAAAACGCCTCATCATCCAACCGAGTCGTTGGTATTAAGAAACCAAGTCGTTGAATTTGCCTACCACATACCTATCATCGTTAGTCACGCCGCATACAATTTATATATATGGTTTTCACTTCGTAACGTACCTCACGACAGCTTGGACTTCCTGGTCATTCTCATATTCGCCGCTTTCACTTATTGTCGATATAAACACTTTCAATGGAGCAGTAGATAGAGACGTGATTGGCGCCAGCGCTTGCCTAAACGCAACCATGGCGTTCAACTTGCACAAGATAGCTTTGTCTTCTGAGTGTTGGCATAGTTGCTCACGAAATACACGCTCATACTTCTCCATCTGAGTAACATAATCTTCGGTACGTAGAATTACGACATCGTCTGTCCCTGTCGAAATCTTGAACGTTATCAATTGACCTCTCTTTCGTAGTCGATGCACCTCCAAAAGACAGCAAGAAACAAGAACAGTCATACAGTTCATTACGTTATTTGTCCATGTATTGCCATGGCAGAAACGAAGCTTACATTCTGATCAACAAACGTTCGATTGGGTAGAATCGAGTACAATTGATGCCAGATAATCAATGGAGGTAAACCAAGAGCTGCATACGCATCAGCATTACGGTTTAATAGCAGCTGAATGCAAGCCATTGTGTCATCAATGAGATCAATGGATGCGGTCCATTCATCGTCCTCTGCAGCTACAGCAATGGTGTGAAGCTTACGCTTTTGACGCCGTAACATTCTTTGGTCTCTTTGTTTCGATGAATACTACAAACACTGATCTCTAATCGTCTTGGAAGCAGGAAAATTGATCTGGAATTCCAAATATCGATCAATTTTTGACTTTGTCGAACCTACTAATAATGTCATCTATATATATACTAAAATTACAGCCATTACAATGCTTGCTTGAGACTGTGCTTGACACGACTTACGCTTCCAAAAAGGTGTTGAAATTTGGCATTGGTGAGTTCAGTGTAAAACTGAATTGAAATTCCAGTTTAGCAAAATTACAGTGGTTTCTTGTATGTTTTTTAGGTTAAGAAACTTTGAGCTAAGGTTTTTTAATTTACATAATAAATCCTTTTTCTTTCTAACAAAGACACGTGGAACAACGCATCGGGCTTGAGCGACTTCATCGTGGTTGACACTAACACGTCAGGCCGCTGGTTGTAATCACACGCATTACCTTTTTGATATTTGCACTAACCGGCATTTATTAAGTCTATAACGCATTAGAACACTAACCGGTTCCTAGTGTGGGCAGATACAAGGCTACGTGCGTTGTGGTTTTCCTACAAAAGGTCAGTTTGTACAAAATATCATCAGCAAGTAAGGCCGTTGACCGTTTCAATTAGGAGCTGAGTTAGTAGGATTATTGACCCTTTTCCGGAGTTTTGTAAGTTGCGTGTTCTTTAACGCTGCCATTGAGTCGTGTACTTTGATATTTCTTCTTTGCTATGCTAACTGCGGCATCAAGGACAGTAAGTTCTGCATCCTTTTCGCGGAGAGGGTTATCTGCATGTCAAGAGGTGGCACACATGATTTTGAAACAATGCTATGGTTGAAGTTTGAACTAATTGAAGAAAATTCAACGGTGCAAAAGATTGCTGTTTTATAATATAAGCTAGCCTCAAGTCTATATCATAACAATATTTGTGAAGTCGAACTGCCCATTTTCTTGACGCAAACACGACAACCTGTGATCATCACTCGAAAATAATATTGATATATTATCTTCAAGCATCCCTTTTACAATCTACCTTGTCTAGCGCGTCATAACAACACATTGTTTTTCTTGGCTTTGTCATTGTCGCTGTAACAAGCTAAGCCTGTTAGCAGTTTTACTTCTGCCCAGTAGGACAAAACTAAGAAAGATCTATAGTGCAGTGCACTTAATACCTGCCGCTTGGGTAAAATTTGACGTAAGAATACACTTATCAACCTCTTTTTTTGCCTTTGGCGACGGGGTATTCCGCGTTCTTAGGAGAAAGACAGGGAGCATGGTGAAGCATCTCAAGAACTGGGAGGCCAGAGGACCAGTGGGTCAAAGAGAAAAGGACTTGCCAAGGAGGAGCGACCGTTGGGTAAGAGACAAAGAGAAGGGGCGCTAAAGAAGACGGGGAACGACTGTTGGATGAGAAGAATTCACGGTCAAAGCGTGCTAGTTAGCCACCTTTCTAAGGAGTTAACCGCGGTTAGCCCGACGGACTGCGGTTCCTCAAGGTGGATCCAAAAAATAAATTTCTATGAAGTTCATATATCCGGTGATTCATGGTCGACACTGGTCTATCATTGCTAGACCCGGTCGTTCACAAAGGCAGATCTCAATTTTTGACCGATGGACCCTCGGACCTGGTCCCTGAAGGCTGACCTTGGTCTTCTTCAGTGGACCTAGGTCCTACGTCAATGGACCTCGGTCCTTCGGTCGATGGACTCTCGGCCCCGGTCCCTAAAGTTCGACCTTGGTCCTTCAATAATGGACCTCAGTCCTTAGTCGATAGACCTTGACCCTTCAGTAGACTCTCGGCTCCGGTCCCTAAAGGTCGACTTGGTCCAGAGATCCAGATACCCTAGCTAAGCAGAATCAAGAATCAGGTCTTGGGGTGAAGATAGACTGAAGGTGTTTAAATATAGTAATTGATTAAATACTACTCAACTTGCGATCTACGTAGCACGCCTTTTTCGTGCTCTCAACGCACTTGACAAAGTCTACCCACCTGTTCCGGGGAGGGATATATTTTGACCCCCCGTCGAAGACAGTTGTGTGGTAAGGCCCAAGAGTGAATAGAGCACCAGGATATATTTGTCCTGTGGGTTCGTTTGAGTAGCACCCCCCAATCGACCCCGCTATTGGAAGCAGTCTTCCTACCCTAGTGGTTCGGGAAGTAGTAAAGGCCAGGCGGTTAACACCCCTTCGATATCAAAAAAGGCCAGGGTTGAGAATCTCTTGAAGAATATAAGTCCACCCTCGACCTAGTCGACCGAGTGACACCCACACCTTAAAAATGTATACCAAGTTCCCGTTCAGAGTGACCTTGATGCGGGTGCGTCCTTCCGTGGATACGCAAATTCCCTGATATTAACACATTCTTGGCGCTCACTTTCATCAGTCTGGCAGACTACTTTACGAGCAAAGGCGATATCCAAAATATGTATCTTGGCGCCAGTATCAAACAACAAGTTAGCTCGATCGTTGTTAATCTTCCCAGAGACCTTGGCCTGCTCGAACCATTTCGTGGGGGCATCGTATTTCCAATACCCCCTCGACTCGCCGGGCACTAAGTCCAACTCCATCACTGTACTTTCCCGAACAAAATCTTTAGACGCACCGAAAGAATCAACATAGACCCTAGGGTAACTTTTAAACCTCGATATATTCCCCATCGAGTTATCCTGAATGTCCCCTCCTCCCTTGGGCTGCTTTTCCACATATGCAAAAATGCAGCAATTAGAACGCTCAACTCGTACTAGATTTAAACCTGGCGAGCGTCCTAATTTAGCATCTGCTCGATCTTCTCCGGCAACATCTTAGCGTGCTCGGTCGGGTTGTACCACTGACGGATCAAGTTATAAAACTCTCTATCGGGCACTTTTCAACCTCTTGGGTTTCTTTACAACCTCGACATCGACATACAAACAGGCAACGATATGATGGATGCGTCCAGTGTGAGAAGCCCTTCTTCTCACACTGGACGCGGGTCAGCTTTTTCCAACAAAACAAGTTTCCATGCTTCCTGGACCCACAATGAGCACATGTGGCACTTGGGGTCGACGACACCGTGCGAGGGGGATGGTCCTTGGTCGAGGGTCAGGGATGGTCTTCCTCTCTGATGAGTCGATCCCTCGGGGCCCTTGGCGCTAGGCCCTTCTCCGTCTCCGTGACCATGAGGTAGACCTTTCGTAGGTCACCGTCACTATCAGAACGGTCCAAACTGGAGTCTTCGGAGCTTGATCCTTCCTGGGTCGCTCAAACTGCATGGACGGCGCAGCGATTCAACTCCCTTGGCCTATCAGGGGTAATCGGTGCTTTCTGGCGAAACTTGCTCGACCCGAACAATATCTTGCCTCGTCGGGCCTACGTCCATCGACGCGCCCTCAGCACATCCTCCAGCTCTTCCACATCAGCCAAACGTAACCTGGTCACCTGATTCGCCAGTTCTGGTTCGTCCAAGGTCTCGATGTAATGCTCGACACGTTCCTTTCAATCTTGGGTAGTCCATCTTGGTCTTGATCTCCGCTCGAAGTCCAATGACATTCAGACGGCATAGATAATCCAGAGGGGGTTCGTCCAACCTTTTATTCGCATGGTAAATTGGCGGTCCACTGGTACCCTAAAACCACGGTATTGCATCTGGAATTCCTGTAATAAGTCCTTCCAATTTCCACGAAAAGAGCGACCTAGTTGACGATACCAGTTCTGTGCAGGTCCAATCAGTAATTCTCCAAAAACGAGACACTTCTCCCCATCTGGCGCTTGGTCCCTCGTGAACGCGGTCTTCACAGTGGTCACCCGTATGCGGTGGTCATTACCATGAAACTCCTTGAAATACCAGGTCGCTGAGAGCTTGATACGAGGGACCATGTTGGGCACCTGTACCAGGGTGGCATTGACCATTCTCGCCAGATTTCCATCACTACAAATCAGTGGGTTTACTCATGGGGCGTCGGCCTTTCAAAGCCAAATATGCCTTTCTTGCAGGGCATTTTGCCATCAAATGTCCTGTGCTCTTGCAGATGTAACATCTGCGCACAATTTGCTGCTCCGCAGCTTGAAGCTCTGCTTCTTCATCCTCCACTTGACTACAGTCCATGGGAACAGATCCATTAGACGAGTAGTTACAACTGACGGCCTAGCGGCCTTAAAGTTGGTCTCGGCATTCCATGCCACTCCAACAGCTTCCTCGATAAGGTCTTGTTTACCCGGAAGACTTCTGTTTTGGCAACGCCAACTTGAATGCCCTCCGTGAAGACCGTGACGGTCACTGCCTCAGGCATAGGTTCGATGAACATGGCAGCAATAAGAGTTCTCAACTCTTGCACACATGCCGCGAGCTCACGCTTGCCTTGGCGACACGCCAAAAACCGCGACCGGTTACGGTGTGCTTGGTTTGGCGGTGCATACTGCCGGGTCATCTAAGCTTTCAGATCGCCCCATATTGGGAATGAATCTTGCAGTGATACACCGCATGTGATCGCCATTGCTTAGATAATCCACCCAACTTGCCCGTGGCAAAGCCCTCACGGTACGGTAAGTAGGTGATGCGTCTGCATTTTTCTTATGCGTTTGCTTGCGAGATGCAAATTATTGGTAGGATGGGTCAGGTTTAGTCAGTAGGCTTGGATGTAGCAGTTGTGGTATATAATGACTATAAAAATTCTATGTTACCATTTACACAAAAGTATACGATACTTTTTATGCATCTCAAAAAATTATCGATTATTCGAATCAGTACAAAGATATTATATTGGTAACTTCAAATTGTAGTCGAGCTACTGTAGCCAAGCTACTTATTCACTATGTGCAGAGAAAGACAAGCTCCAAGAGCTTTTACGCCTTAGGGGCTTAACCCTCCCAAGGCTAGCCCGAAGACTTATGCCTTTTGGTTGCGAACAACCGTGTCGGTAACGAGATTACACGAAGCCGTGTATTTTACATACACACCTGCTACACCATTGTGGTGTGTACATTAATAGGCTCGATATGACCGTACCTAAGGTACGAAGGGTCGCATCGTGGC